ATCCTTGGTTCGAATTAAATAAACATAACTATATCTAGTATAGTCATCTATAAAAGTGATAAAATATTTTTTTCCCACCTCTTGTTTGAATTGACTTAAAATCACATATGTCACTATAAATTAATTCAAGTGGTTCCGTACTTCTTTCAATTGAATGAAAAGGAGTTTTGGATAATTTTGCCTCAACATAAATTTCACATTTATGATTTGAATCAATGTCAAATTTAGGTAAACATTCCATATTAATTAATCTACGCAAAGATCCATAATTAACATGTCATAGTCTACCATGCCATAAATTTGAAGACTCATGCAAGTAAGAAGAATATGTATTTTTATTAATGACTGATGGTACAACGGTCATTACATCTATCTTGAAAAGGCTATCAGACATGTAACCCTTTCCTACATACATCCCGTTTTTGGTAAGTACAAACTTGTCACTTTTAAAAACTAGCCTAAACCCATTCTTACTCAACAAAGATCCGGAAACTAAATTCTTGTGAATGTCCGGTACATGCAGTACATTATTAAGAGTGAGTTCCTTTCCTGATGTCATCTTTAGTACAATCTTTCTTTGTCCTTCAACTTTGGAAGTTGAGGAGTTGCCCATAAAAAGTTGTTTACCGTTGTCCACTGTAGAATAAGATGTGAACATCTTTTTGTCGACACAAATATGGTGAGTAGCACCAGTGTCCACCCACCATTCTTTAAGATTTCCGACAAGATTTGCCTTGGAAACAACTGCAAAAAGATTTATGACGTCTACACCATTGGAAGTTTCATCCATTTCGGTCATTTTGGCTTTAGCAACCTTCTTACTTGATCTTCCTTTGCCTTTACGTTTGTAACGGCGATCTTTGGCCCGATGTCCCTCTTTGTTACAAATGTAACACATTCCATTAAACTTGTATTTCTTAGTTTCCCTTCCTTTAGATAGCATTCTCTTCTGCCATCTTTTAAAAACAGTTTCTAATAACTTCTTTGGTTTTCCACCATGATTCACTGGCACAGTCCCAACATAAGGAGAGGTTGGCGTAATGGCAATCACCATACCAGTACTGCTTTGAACATTAGTTTGACCAGTTTTAGTAGCCATAAATTCTAAATTATAAAATAAAATTATACTTAGAATTTTATACTACACAGAAAATTTAAACAAAAAAACACAGAATTTTAAATTCTGTAAAAATAAAAGAAACAAGAATAAAACCTCTAGATGCAAATATATTGTACATCTATTAACAGACTCAATTATCATGAGATCACAAACCCATTAACAACCCAAGCGTGGTAGTTACAATTTATTCCCCCCAATGTGTACACTCGACACGCATGATACAACAATCCAATTCCCATATTTATTTTCTATGACTCACATAGAGTTAAAGTTTCATTCTTCACTTTCAGAATCAATTTTCATAATTTTCCAAATCAATATGTTCCACCACTTATTCCAAAAACACTTTTCTCATTTTCCCAAAATCAATTCCATTCCTTCCATAACCTTCCAAACTAATTATGCAAATTAGATCATAATCATTAAGTTAGGGTTTTTCTCCCTCTTTTAATTCATCATGACACATATAAATTAGGGCTTTTCTATATTTCAACAACAACATGCTATTTCACGCCACAAATAGTCCAATGAACACCCAAAGACAATAAATCCATTTTTTAATCAACCAACTCTAGGTTCCCTCATGATTTTCAAACAAACCCAACATAGGTATGGTTTTCATGCAATACGAAACTACCACATGTCTATCTATAGACGAAGTACTGAAAAAGAACAAGGAGAATCCCTACCTCGAATGGAGAACTCAAATGGAAAAGATGACCCGAAATCAAAGTGCTCCAAATCCCAAATTTCTTGGATCACAACGAAGCCCTCGACGATCAACACATTTCTTGCAAAGGCCCAAGGTGAGGAAAACACTCTAGCTAGATCAATCCTAAGAGAGAAGTTAGGTTTTAGAGTGAGGTGCTCTCTAATGGCTTTTTCGGAAAAGTAAGAGAGAGAAAGGAAATCAAAAAGTGATTCAAAAAGCTGAATCTCGGTGTGTTATACAGGTCGCCCCGCTCGAGCGTGGAAACCCCCACTCGAGCCTCACTCACAGACTCCCGCTCGAGCGCCAAAAACCCCGCTCGAGCGGCGGATACAACCATCCAGAAGTTTTGCAGAACAGGCCCCTACTCGAGCGTCCAACTCCCCGCTCGAGCGTCTCACACAAACTCCCGCTCGAGCGTCAAACCTCACGCTCGAGCGTCCCACACTACAGAGGAAATACTGGGAAGGTGATTTTCCCGCTCGAGCGCCGAAACCCCCGCTCGAGCGGAGAGGTTAAAAACTAGGCAAAGATTCTAGGTTTTAGAACACAACCGACTTACTCCCAACAAGACCAACACAACCCAAAACTCTAAGATAAAGAGTAAGGGACGGAAAAGAGAATGAGACAACAACAACAAATCTACGGAACCGAGTCCGGATTACAATTCAATAACAACAAGGAATACTGGGATCGCTATATAGACTCGAACAGGTGCTTCATTTGAAATGAACAAATATGAATTTCAAAAGAACAGGTGCAATAGATAACTGAATCTGTCTACAATCTGTAACTGCTGGACAGTTTGAAAACTATCCAGATTTGAACCTATAACTGCCTGGGCAGTTTGAAATGAATCTGTCCGAAATTCTATATGGAATTTGAACTGTAGGAGGCACAAATTTTGGACTAAAATTTGAATTCAAATTCAAATTATAAAATGCAAAATTTTAATTAATTTTTTTTTCCCGCAAGAAATTTGGAAAAAAAAACAAATAAATTAATGTTAGAACCGACCCGACCCACAACCCACAACCGCTCCCGGACGGCGGCGGCGCGCGTGTGGTGGTTTGGGCTAAGGTTTACTTTGTCCATAACTCCTCCCTTGTATAAACTTGGGGTGCCCCTTGGGGCCCAACCCAAGTATTATAGGCTAGAGCTTATATATACAAATAAACTCTCTTAAAGTTTCAATGCGGGACAAGCCTCACAAGGAAACCCACATTTAAAACTTAAATGTTTTATTCCACGAACGCGAAAACGATGTCATGTTCCAATTCACTCATAAATGGTTTTGACGAACCGTCTTCATCGTGTGACTTGCCACGCGGCAAGGAACACTTCACCTCTTTGAACCCACCCCAAAAGACGTTCGGGGCCCACTCAATTTTGGGCTTAAGGTCGGCCCAAAATAAGCCTAATAAACCAAATTTTCCAACCCCTTACCCTAACCCTAACTTCTTCCACTCTTATCTCAACTACCATTCCTTTTCCACCATCATCACCCCCACCAACTCAATCACTTCACCATCGCTACCTCGGCCACCGCCGCTGCCTCTTTTGTTGTAGTAGCGATGGTGTTCAACTCTCTACATGGTGGTAACTCACCGCCGCACTCCTCCGGCACAACTCCTCTAACACTGACTAAACCAAGCTACACTTTTGGTGACCAAAACAAATTTAGTAGCAAAAAATGTACATTTTGGCGACTAATTAGGCTCTGTTTGGAACAATTTTGGAAATAGTTTTCTACCCACACATTCTAATTTCACGTTTGGTAGTGCCTTTCAAATTGTATTTCCACAACCAAGACAAAACTCTACAGAAAACTTTGTCTCAGGTGTGATTTTCAATTTTTTTTTTCGAAATTTGGCCTAATCGGTCGTCCCACTAGACGTCCGGCCGGTTGACCGGAACAGTACAATTTTTTTTTTTTTTTTTGCAATTGATATGTTAATTTTTATATATTCGAAAAAAATATTTTTCGAATTAAATTTTTTTTATGTGTTTTAATAGAATTTTGAGTTATATGTTTGGTTATGAGTTGTAAGTTTTTGTATCAAATATCAAATGTCACATCAAAAATTTCCCACTCAATTCAAGACTCTTTTCAAAACTCTTTCACCAAACAAATTTTCCACACTCAAATCATAATTTCAAAATTCACAAACTCAAAATACAACTCATACTCTCAAATCATAGTTACAAAGCTCTACCAAACGCAACATTAATTTTTTTAAGTCACCAAAGGTTGACAGTTTAACTACCATGTTATTTTAGTCGAGATATATTGTTTTTTGGCGACTAAAAAAAAAAAATTAGTCACTAAATATATAGTAATAGGCGACTAAAAGAATATTAGTCACCAAAAGTCTATATTTTAGGCTACTAATTCTAGGTTTAGTTGCCGTATACAGTTAGTTGCCGACAAAAAGGTAGTTTAGCTGCTAAATAATAGGGACATTTTTAAGTCTTTTGGTGACTAAAAAATTTAGTGGCCGTATATTCAATTTTTGCCGACGAAAAAAAAGAATAGTGGCCAAAGATACTTTTGACTACCAATATATTAGTTGTTATTACTTAATCTTTAGCTACAAAACATTTAGTCTTTATTCATTATAACTTGGTGATCAAAAAAAAAGTTTAGTCGCTAAAGGTAGAATATTCTATAATTTAGTCGCTAAAGGTAGAATATTTTTTTTATAGAGGGAAATGAATTAATTTTGGCGCCTGATATACACTCTGTTGACACACACACACGCGCGCGATATACACTTTGGCCATGTTTGTTTGGATGGATATGAGCTTGAGATTGGACTAATAGTCCAATAAAATTATTAATCTGATGTTTGGTTAAACAATTGAAGTACGGATTAATTATTTTAAACTTGACTATTAGTTAAGATAGGATACATAATCCAACAGATTTGTAGTCTTAGGACTATTAGTCATGGGAATGCTAATCCAGTCCGTCCAAACAAACATGGCCTTTGTTCTGTATCAAACACTTTTGGCTCTCTGTCGACACTACAAAACCTCACCCCTGCTCACTATCGTCACTGTCCACCGGCACTCGCCACCGTCGCACACCGCCACCGTCGCACACCGCCACCGCCACCGCTGTAAATCACCACCGCCACTGAATCACAGGTATTTTTCTTTTTCTCTCTCTCTGTCGCTCTCGGTCTCTTTCCTCCCCCCTCTGTTGCTCTCTGTCTCTTTCACTCACTCTCTCTCTCTCTCCCTCTATTTTCCCATTTCTCACTGTAAATCACCACCGCCACTGAATCACAGGTATTTTTCTTTTTCTCTCTCTCTGTCGCTCTCGGTCTCTTTCCTCCCCCCCCTCTCTCTCTCTCTGTCTCTCCCTTTATTTTTCCATTTCTCACACTTCCTCTAGGGTTTTATATGATTTTTTTTTTGTTTAATTGTGTGTTGATTTCTTAACTCAAAATCCCAAATTTTGTGTTCATTTTGTGTTGATTTCTCACACTTGCTATAGGGTTTGATTTCTAGACATAAATCCCAAATTCAAGCTCAAAACTAAAAATCCAAAACCTTATCATGTTATAGTGGGTGGGACTGAAATTGGATCCATGGACTGCATGGGCAGACAAACCTCTTATTATTTCTTTGTTACTTATCGGTGCATGCTTTCTTATGTGAGTTTCTTGCCTTACAAGCAGTGTTTATTTAGGTATTTTGCCAATTCTGCAGTTTCATTACTTGATGGTTGAACTCATTAAAATTGGTGGACCTGTAGATTTTCTCTCTTTAGTTGGTCCTAAATTCTGCTAGTTGTGTAAAGTTCAATTGATATTTTTTGAGTGTGTAAATTTGTGAGTACTGAAGTGTGGTAAATATCTGAATGATTAGAGCATAAATTCTACGTCTGCTTATATTAATTACAAGTCCAAGTTAGTGTAAATATACCATTGGAACCTTTAAGGTTTGCAATCAAGCCATCGCTCTGCTTGCGTAAATATTTAATTTGCTACCTTATTTGACCTTTTGAAAATCATGCTCTTCAGTTAAGTGTTGGTTTTAAAATTCATATTTATGGATTATGGTTCTATCTTCTTGGGATGATATATCCGAATTTCAAGTTAAATGCTACATTATGACATTTGACTACATACCCATCGGTTCCTGTCACTGTAAATGATATGGTTACTAAACGGTATATCCAAGCAAGCAACTTTGTTGTAAGCTATTGCAAACTTAAAGTTTGGTTCTTAATTTCAACCTTGTAAAAGCCATACCTTCCAAAAGCAATTGTTTTGAAGTTTCAAGTTATTGTTGTATATGCATGTTAGCTGCAAGCTCCTCATTCTCCAGCAGCGATTTCAAATTAGTGAAGCATGTGTGCCAGATGTAAATAGTAAGGTGAATTGAATAATCGATTCCCTAGGATTCTTGCAAAACATCCTAAAGGTTATTATTTTGGTTTAAGTGTCAGTAGTTATTTTCTATCCTAGAGTTGCACATTGCTCTTATGACCTTCTATATATTTGGTTACTTGAGTGTATAATGGGTTTTTGGCAAGCGAGTCCCTATTTGTGTTGTTCTGCTTTTGATCTCACTTAATTATGTCAATCACCTTTTCTTTTTCTTTTTTTCAAAAGGCCTGGTCATAACGGGGTTCCTTGTAAGGAAGAACTACGGTATCCCATAATCCTGCTTTTGCTGTTGCACCATTGGCATAAATTTGTGCTTTGCTTATATTGTAGTTTCTTTTTAGATTGTTGAAAAAGTCCATAGTTGATTAATTTTTAATTTATTTATTTCTGCGTGCTTACCAGTTAGGAAAGTGGTGCTCTTGATCCTGAAAACAGTAAGTGCTAATACTAATTTACATTGGCACCTCTATGATAGAAGATTTATTTAGTGCTCATATATTCATTTTAGTATGATGTTGATTCTAAGTTCACCAAAAGGACATGGTTTTACGGCTCACAACCCTCTTGCAAGGTTTAGATGGTCATCTTACTGTTTGGTAAGAAGAATTTAGTAATATGATACTAAACGTTTTACAAAAATAGGATCATATTGACATTATTATGTAGGATGAACCTAGAATTGTTTTCTCAAATTCCTATTCAAACATGTTAGAATGTTGATTATGGGTTTTATTCGTTTTATTTTTGTTTCCAGACTTCGAATAGGTTTTGATGCTAAATATTAGTACACTTAGCAGCAAAGGACCTAGTGTTTGGATACTCAGGTCCCGTTTGTTTGGGGTTATAGGGAGGGGATTAGGTTTGGTAGTGAGGAGGGGATTGAGAATGGGGTGTTTGTTTTGAGAGATAGGGAGGGGATTAGTAATTCCTTAGTATTAGTAAGGAGGAGGAAGGTGGATTGGTAAGGAGGAGGTATAGATGGTATTAGAAAAATAGTGAGGGGATTAAAATTTTTTTTATTTTTTATATATTGAGAATTTTTTTTTTAAATATAATGTTTAATTTTTTATATTTTTTTATTTGTTTTATTATTTTATATAAAAATAATTTATCAATTCCTCACTATTATTCCCCTCACTATCAATCCCCTCCACTCTATCTCTGAAAACAAACGGGGCCTAATTTTCATAAGGTAAGCACATGTTTTCTATGAAATATTCACTTTCTTGAATTGATTGGGATTAGTCTCTGAAGATGAGGTAAGTCACTGAATTATGAGCCCCATCCAATTTGTATGATCTGTATGCTTGTTGCTATATTCAATAATTCAACTTACTTACATTACTCACTTATAAGCATACTAGTTCATGTTATGTGACAGGGAACATAGAAACATATGTGGGTGTATAACAAAAGAATGAATTATGAAAAAAAAAAAAAAAAAAAACTAGCTACTTTGTGATCCAAGTAACACAAAAAATTTCTAAAATTTTGATTATTAATTTAATAATCAACTTCTGTCCTACTATTCTTTCAAGCACTATTTGGGATTCATCTTATATACAATCAGCTTACTTAACATATTTTTCCCCCCTCCTTATTGGGGAATCTTTTGTTTGTAAAAATTGCTCCAAGTTCTCATTTTACATTTGTTTTTGTTAAGTTCCTGGTGTTTGGTGCAGTATGTTGGGAGAAAGTGGCAATTTCACATTATTGAATATTTGATAGAACATGACAGTTCTTGGTTTCTCTAGGACATCTTAGACACCATGCATCATTCTTTTTGGTTTTCCATAATAATCAAGTCAGTACCATTTTTCTCTTTATGTTAATTGACTGAGAACACCCAGTTGTTAAGCCAAATATTCATGTCAGAAGTGCCTCAGAATGGAAAAATTGGATTATTGATATTTCAAATATATAATACATTCTTTCAAGAGTTGATTATATGACAGTCGACTGTTTTTCTGATATGCTTGCAATCAAACTAACAAATATTTCTTTTAAATCCTCACTATACATTTAATTTTATCTGGAATGATCAAATACCTTTTTCTCATACTAACTGATATTGTATTAGGCTCAATCCTATTTTCTTAAGATGCTCGGAACAGAGTAATTTCTAATTTCTATTTGTTTCAAGCACTATTTAAATTATTGGTGTTCAGGCTTTAATGCATCATCCAAGTAAGTTTCTAGCATAACCGCACTTAGCTTTGAATCGAGTTCATTAAGTTTTTGACTACATGTCCTCAATATCTGTCACTAACTGCAGCTCCTCCATAATAATATGAACAACAAATAGATGAGGGCAACAAATAGTCAAAAACTATGGTGTACAACTTAGTAAAAAAAGGTCTTAATTAACACATGTGGGTTGGGAGTTGGAGTGAAAAAGACCTTAAACTTAGTCGAAAAAGGTCGTTAATGCAAAACAGCCCCTGAATCACTCTATGGATTCCACGGGTAGCTTTTTCGTGACAAATAAGACTTGTAGGGATAGATGTGATGTAATTAGCACACATAGGTTTGGAGCTGGAGTGAGAAACGCCTTAAACTTAGTCGAAAAAGGCCTTTCAGGGGGGTGAAAATGCAAAACTGCCCCCGAATCACCCTATGGATGTCACAGGTAGCTTTCTCATGAAAAATAGGACCTGTGGGGATAATTGTGATGTAATTAGTACACATAGGTTAGGATTTGGAGTGAAAAACACCTTAAACTTAGTCGAAAAAGGCCGTTCGGGGGGGACGAAAATGCAAAACAGCCCCTGAACCACTCTATGGATGTCACGGGTAGCTTCTTTGTGACAAATAGGACCTGTGGGGTCATATGAGATGTAATTAGCATATGTAGGTTGGAAGTTTGAGTAAAAAACGTCTTAAACTTAATCAGAAAAGGCCGTTCTGGGGGTAAAAATATAAAACAGCCCCCGAACCACTCTATGGATGTCACGGGTGCTTCTTAGCTTACTTTTTAAGTAAGGCATACCCATACACACAATGAACTACAACAATTTTCAAACTTCCTCTCAAATAAAAGTGACAATGCCATGTATGTCCCTAATTCAACATAAGGTAGCAACCTTTACCAAACATATTCTCTCTGTCTTTTTAAATTTTTTTTAAATATTTTTTAGGACACCATTTTATCAGCAACTCTAAATAAGCACCTTCAAATAACGTTAACAATTTCATTCTTTGAATAAGAGCATATTTGGATGTGTTGTGAACAAGTATTTGCCTTACCAGTTATGTATTTGTGCCATAGAGCAAAATAGTAAGTTTCGGCAATTGACAAGTATGGATATTTGGCATGCTTTTGATAGGAATGTTATGATGTTAGTCCAACCACAGGAAAGTTATGAAGTGCTTATTAAAATGCTATTATTTATTTTTATTTTTTGAGACATTATTAAAAGTCTATTATGTGTAGGATTATTGTGTAGGAAATGCTTCTTTTATGGTAAAGCTTCTACAATTCTGCAAAAGTCTGTTGTTTAAATAACCATAAGTGAAACATGTTGTGTGGTAGACAATTCATTCACCATTCAACTTATGGGTTTTGAAAAATCATGAGCCATAATAAAGTAAAATAAAAATTAACTTCTAGTTCATAATACATTATACTGATAATTACATTATCTTTTTTATGTACTTTTGTTAGGAAAAATGCCTATTAGTGTTGGAGTTTCTCTAACCCATGGATTGGGTGTCTTCGAAAACAAAAATACTGATAATTACATGACACATATATATTCATGTACAATGAAATTAGAGAGAGAACAAAATCAGATAGAGAAAGAAGTAGAGAGATAATTGTAAACTTCTATTGAATTCACTAGGTTAAAAAAAGGAGAATTGCCCAGCAACTCTCTCCCTAGCAACAAAAATCCAATAAGTAACAAGAAGGTAAACTTGTCTCCCTAAAAAAAGTAATAACAATAGAGGCTAATCAATGGGGAAAATTGCATGTCATGAAAAAGTTGAAGAAAGGACAAATACACCAGAACTATGAAATTATCTTCAAATGCTATATGGAATTAATGGGTGTAATTTTTGTTTTGTTGATGGCTTTTGGCATGGACAAGTGGATCTTTCATTTTTGTGTACGGAGGATAATTTACACTTTTGAATAATCCTGTTTTTTTGTCATCCTCTGCTTTTTGTGGGAATTTGGATGAATCGCACATATAACTTTTGGCGGGGTACATAATACTTTTGACATCGAACAAATAATTATTGCTGTGGTATATAGATTACCGTTTATCGTGGTACAGATTACCATGTTGATTTGTACCATGTCAAATGGCCATTTCGGATGGTAGTAAATATATTTTTGTGGACGGAGGGCATGATTTTTGTATGCTTATTTTTTCTGTATGAAATTATTATTTTCTGTTAGAATATACTTGGTTTGTATAGAATTTGATATTAAAAGTTATTCTTTTTTTGGATGGTTGTAAGTGAAAATGGATGATAATATATAAGTATTGTTTTGTTTTTTTACATGTTACAGGTTGCGTGGGATACATATAGGTTGTGGACAAATTAATTAAAAAAAAAACAACATAAAATGATGTTTTTGGTGACGAAACAATTGGTAGTAAAAAATGGAGTTAAATATTTTTAGCAACTAAATAGTAAGTAGCTAAAAAAAGAACTAAATGGAAACAAATCTTTTGACGACTAAATATTTAGTAGCCATTTAGAAAAGACTTTAGGCAACTAATGATTTACTATCCAAAAAAAGAAAAGAAAAGAAAAGAAAAGCAAAGCACTTTTGGTGACTAAATATTTAGTAGTCAAAAAAAAAAAAAAAAATTATATGATAGGCGACTAAAACTTTAGTAGCTAAACAAAAAAATTAGACTTTGGGCGACTAAACATTTAGTTGCTTAAAAAAGTAAGATGAACGAAAAATTGAAAATTTGCGATTAAAACTTTGGTAGCTAAAAATGTGATATTAAATTTAGTTGTAAGCTTCTTTAGTCGCTAGTTTAGCCTTTCAATAACTAAAAATTTTGTTTGTCGCCAATACCTTTACTTTTGGCGACTATTGGCGACTAAAACATTAGTTGCCAATTTAGGACTTTCGGCAACTAAATATTTTTTAGTCGCTAATATCTTCCCCGACAATCCTTCCTCGACAAAGTCGGCGACCAAAAAGTTTAGTCGGGAAAATGTTTTGGTGACTAAAATTTAACTTTTGGCGACTAAAAATTTAGTCTCCAAAAGTGTAATTTGTTGTAGTGACTTTGTATTCCTTGGACTAGTAGAATTTCTTTGACTCTCTTACTATTGTACTTGAAGCCTCTTTGATTGTGTAGAAAATTTAATGTATAAAGAGAAATAGAGAATTGTATAGATATTGATTGTATTATTGATTGATATATATTGATGTCTATTACAATGATTCATGATTCCTATATATAGAAGATGGTGAGTGTGTAGTAGGTAAGGAGTAGGTGAAGTGGAGGTGGTAGTGGTGTAGTGGGTTAGGTTTAGTGGAGTAGGTGAGGCGGTAGTGGTGTAGTGGGTTAGGTTTAGTGGAGTAGGTTTAAGTGGGTGAAGTAGGTGGAGAGTAGGTGGATTTTAGAGTATTGATTGGGGTGATATCATAATGGTAAAGTAAGATTGAACCAAAAATATTGATTCGAATAATTGTCTCATGAGCAGTCTTTCATCTTTTTCTCTTTTCACACTTTGAATCTGGATATGAAGTTAGAACCATTGGAAAGTTTGTTTTTGTGGCTTCAAGTTGGACACAAGAATGACCTAAAACGGAGTCTGGATGAGGGAGCTATGCTGGTTTGAAAGTTGAGTACCACTGTTGGTTGCAAGTCCGCTCAAGCAAACTTTTAACCGCTCAAGATTCTGAGATTCTGGCAGCTTAATTTCACTGCTTGAGCAAAGTTTTGAACGTACGAGCAGTTTGTTCAAAGTCAAGCACTTTAAAGTCACTTTTTGGCCAAAACTGTTCATTCTTCATTCCTTTCTTCTCTCCATCTCCTCTATACCCGAAACCCTAGACCTCCAAGCCTTGATTTCATCTATTTTTTTACCAAGAATCCATCATAGATCTTGCATTAAAGATGAAGAACAAGTGAAGATCTACATTTTGACTGACTGGATTTTGGATTATTTCAAAGGAATTTTTTTGATCTAACTTCTCTACTTTTATCTTTGAGGTAGGATTACTTTTAATCTTGTATCTCTTTATTTTGAGGATGTTTATGTAGTGCTATTATGACATTGATGCTATAATTTAATGTTTGAGTTTACAAAATTGAGTTTTGTTTCAAAAATGAAATTTTCTCAATATTTTCTTAAGATTTTTGTTAATGGCTATGGATTATGAAGATTTTAGTTGGGAAATAACATTTAACATGATTTAGGGGTAAAAGCCCCAAATTTATGAAAATCCTAGTTGTAAAATTTGAGAAAAAGATGAAATTAATTTTTAATTCTTTAAAATTGATAAATGGATTATGATATTTTGAATATGTATTGATTGAGACTTGTGAAATTGGCACCTCTTGAGATTTTTCTTGAATTATGAATATTGTTCCTCATAATCCATTAAATTACTTGAGTGGTGTATATTACCCTTTACCTATAGAATGTATGAATATTTGAAAATCTTGGAAATGTTGTTTAAGGGAGTAGTAAATAGCACATGAGTACGGGTTGGGAGTCGATTTTTGAAAAGAGTTGTGTGTTATTGGTACCCGCGCAGGGAAAAGTTTAGGTGCCCAATTGCCCTGTCTTGAGCTTATTGCCAGACGAATGTAGGAAAGTGTTTTTGGGTGTCCACTGGTCCTGCTGTATTGTAAAGTGAAAAAACGGATGATTTTGGCTGCTCATTCCCTGCTGTATTAATAGCTGGCAAATGTGGGGATATTTTGGATATAAACCTACGTATATGTATGTATTGGGACTCTTTAGGGAATTCATGGCGTATTTACCCCCTGGTGATGAATTGTGAAATTGTGGAAGCTATGAATTAATGTATTCTTTCTTAAATTAATATTATGAGTTGAATTAAATATGTTTGGTTGTGATAATGCCATATGGATTTTCGAATAACTAGATACTTTATTAAAAGTATTTATTGGGCATCTAGCTCATTTCTATCCAACAATTTCAAGAATTGGTGATGTGCAACCATCGCTATGAGAAGGAGGGGGACTATTTTGTTTTGTTGGGGCATGAAGGCTCATGGATGTGTTATGTGGAAGCTGCGAACATATGTATTTTGGGACTACGTGTCCATTTTGTTGTAACAAGGTTTTGCCTTGATGTTTGTAGCCATTAAGGAATTATTATTTTTATCATTTAGCTTCTTGAATTATGTTAATGTTGGTGTAATTAAGACAAGAATATGAAAATTTGTAATATTTGATATGTAGTTCAATGGGAAAGAGGGCTTTTAGGATTAATGTTATTGTTTCGTATGGTAAGATTTCAGATTAATCGTGTTATGAGTAATGTTTTAATTTAATTAATTTGGGGCATTACAACTCCCTCTCCAATCGGCTTACTTCGCCTCCTCCTCCACTGTCGTTGGCGGCAACCTATTCACATCAAACTCCCTAGCCACTGAGATGTCTCTCAACTCTCTCTCTCTCACTCTCTCTCTCAACTCTCTTCTCTGTGCTCATAGATCTTAGATCTAGACTCCAAACACTTGTTTCTCTTTCTCTTCTCTTAATCTCATCATTATTATCTTCGACTACTTCCTTACCTTCTCACAACAACTTCAATGGCGACCACTTTTCTCTCTCTTCTTCTTTCTTCACTTAACTTCACAGTCACTCCCGAATAGGATGAGATTGGTTTGGTTTGGTTTGGTTCAGCCGATTTATCTCCTAGATTTTGAGCCAAACCGAAGTAATCAATTTTCTTTTTTTGAAACTGAACAAACCGCAAAACACCTGTAAACCGAGCCAAACCTTTTTATGCGATTTCGGTGCGGTCCAGTGCTACAATTTTGGGCCTACTTTTATCCATTAGAAAAATGAATTTGGGCCTTGGAAACTAAAGTCCAACAACAACTAAGCATAATTTTTACATCTGCCTTCTTTATCAAATTAAATTGGGCTATATTTAGAATTTTTTTTATTTTTATTTTTTGCATATGGTTGCGAAATCCTTGTTCAGTAAGAGGTAAAAAATTAAAAAATTAAAATGGATCTAACATAGTAACATGCATCAAACATATCCAACAAAGCATCGAACATATCCAACAAAGTAAACATACCAAAATATATCCTGCAACTATTTTTCTATTCAAAACAAATAGGAACGATATATCAGGCAAGCCTTTTTTGTCTGTTCAAAACTAAATAGGAACCATCTATCCATAACCAAATATTACAAACTATTGATATTAAAAAACTGAAAATAAAATGTAGATAGAGTATGCATTTTCTAAACTACCAAGCAAAAGAGGTCCTGCCAAAATAAATAAATAAATTTATTATCATCATAATTGAATTTAACATAAAAAATCTAAATAAATTATGTAATTTCTTACCTTTCTGACTATTAATATTCAATCTCAAAAATCAAAAATTGAAATTATAGAAATTTGACATATTTTCCAATCAACAAAATAATAGAAGTCCCGCAAACACAATAAAAAAATTCTCATAAGAATTGAATTTAACATAAATAAATACAATTAGATCAAATATTCAACTTGTTACCATTGCTTTCTAACATCAATTAATGATGTTGACATCCTTACTACGTGAACCTTCCATAAGAACTAAAAAAAAAAAAAAAATTTGAAAAATGGCAAAACATAAGAAATTCAAGTATTAAACATAGGGGTGGTCGCAGATTGGTTTTGGATGGTTTGGGTTGTGGTTTGGACTTGCCTGCATGTTTGCGGTTTGGGAAAAATTGAACCTGAGAGGAAGTTTTTATATGCACTAGGGCCGAGCTAGGCTAAGGTGCCTTAGTGGGCTGTTCTTTGGGCCGCGATAAAAAGGATCGATAGAAAGGACCTTGCAGTTAGCTCGGTCCAGTAGTAGGTACAGTTACCACGGACGGTATGGTAATAGTTAGCTCGGTCATGGTATTCAGAACCAAGGTATTTGGGCTTCTCGTGGTGAACTTGCTCTCGCTAGCTCGGTCAAAGCTTCCTGAAGTTAGCTTGGTCTCAACAGGCCAAAATCGAGGTACAAGTGAAAGAAGAGCCGAGCTAATGAGTTGCATGTGAAGGTACCGGTTTGGGTATGACAAAGAGGTATAGTTAGTTCGGTTATATTGACATTCCACCGAAGTAAAACCATCTCACTTGGTTTAAGCAGTGAGGGGGGTGTTGAAGGATAAGCATTATCCTTCAGAAATGTGAATCCTAGGAGGACTCTACATGGAGGAATAAGAGTCCTACTAGGATTGTGTCACACGAAACCTATAAAAGCTCATAAAAAGAACCTATGGAAGA